AAAACAACAAAAATCTCAAATGGAGAGAAAACTCTGCATAATCAACAAGTACTTATCATATTATATGCAATTTGAAATGGAAATAGATGTGGAGCTCAGTATCTAGGAAGCAAAACAAATGTACTCCGTCGTATTTCCTTTAAAGAGCTTTGAACCCTGCAGCGGTAAACGCGGAGAAAAACAAAAACCAGACGCAACTTTTGCCATAATCATGCAAATTTCACCTGTGAATTTGGCTCTGTCCAATTGCATATTTTGTCATATTCAGAAAGTCTATTAAATATGTGCATGCCATGCAAATGTCCAAACGATGGATAACACAGTCAGCACACATAGAATGGAGTTATGGACCATGCCAAATACCCAGCAGGTCAACCGCAGCCAATGGGGTATGAGCGAACGTTCAGTTGCCCAGTGACAACGTCAGCTGCATTGCTTGGCCAGAGCACAAGCCGTGGCTAACACAAGCTGGCTTTAAGCTGCATGCAAAAGTAGTTTAATGACCATTGTAGGGTAGTCATTGAGCCACTGGGGCTTAGCCAATTCGGTGCAGCAACACTCATAACAGCAACAACAGCAATTCAACTGCAAATTCAACTGCATTTTTTTGCATTTCATTCGTAAATCAATAAAAATCAAATAATACACAAACTGCGGGATCAATCACATTTATGCTAATGCAACTTACATAATCTGCTATGGTGGTGGGGGCCAGTTGTCTCTCTGTGTGTGGGTGGTTGGGTGGCATTTGCGCGCAAAGGGGGAGGCAGCTGTGCTGTGCTGCCATGACAAATTCAATTCAAATTTTGTTTTGACAAATTCGGCGAGTATTTGAAAATGCTTAGATAAGCCACACGCAGATTGCCGATATATGTACATACATATATGTATATATGTATACATATTTGCAGAAGTATGAGTCGATATACATATGAGCTGCATGCAAGTTTTGCAATTATAACAAATCCGAACGGGCACAATGAACGGCGCATATGTTTGGTTCTTGCACTTTCACTGCTTTAAAATGCATACCACCTACATTTTGTTGTTCGCTTTGCTTCGGGTGTTGGACGGTTCGGTTCAGTGGCCAATGGCTGTGGCTGTGATTGTGATTGTGGTTGATTTCAGGGGGCGATTGAACCACCGTTAAACATTCTGCATAAGTAAGGAAATTGTTACGGGAAGACGAGTTACTGATGCGGATGCTGTGACCAGCAGCGGCAGATCCCATTGTTCTACTGCTGAATTGCAAATCGCGCTCATAGTTCGTATACTGTTCGATTCGGTTGCAATTTGCCGTTTGTTGGGGCAGGCAGCCAACCAGGCAGTCATGCAGCCCCCAACCAGAGGCAGTCTCAGAGTCAGAGTCACACAGCATCAGCCGCTGCCTCAGCCTCAGCCTGAGCCTGAGCATCTGCTTCAGAATTTAGCTTCAGGTTCAATCAACCCTCGTTCAGCGTTTAGGTTATTGACTTGCCCCACATGGGTGTGTGGACCGTATCGTGGTCAATGTGGCCTTGTCGTTTGTCCAGGTTGAATGTACCGTTGTGTCTTTGAACTCTCTCTCTCTCTCTCTCTCTGTATGTCTTCTGTGTTGCTCAGGCACTGTCGACCATCAACTATGGCATAACGCAGCAGCCGCTGCCGAAGTCGCTGCCGCAGTCGCAGTCGCCATGCCAGACACTCAGACGACGCCAATGAATGAGACAACGAACTCGCTGGGAGATGCCGCCGAAAAAAGAAACATATCACTCCAATAAGCAAAGAAATCCAAAAGCCAGTCGAAATCGAAATATACCTGACACGATCTTTCGCATGCAAATCGCCCTCAGAGATCACTGAGTTCGCAAAGAGAGCAATTAACATTACAAATTTTTGGCTGCTTGAACAAAAAAGGAAGAAGCTGCCAATTAGCATCGTGTGGAGCAGAAGAGAAGAATCGATATGCAAAGAGCGTAGACGAGACTTGAATGAAAGCGATCAGTGATCGTGCTATGACAAAATCCTTGATGTCAACGTTCGTTGATCTCGAAAATGCGCTGGCGATGCTCAATGCTAGAACTAGCTGTTGCTAAGTCGAATACAGATGAAAGTGAGGTTTCTACAAGGAGAAGATGTGCGAGATGGACGTGGAAATGAACTAGAACTTAAGTGATATAGATTATAGATATTATTGAAGGAAGATTGAAGGCAAGCTATGCATGACTAGAAGCAAATAATTGCTAAGATCTGACTTAGCTGGTTGAAAGACTGCTTTTAGAGAGTAGCCAGGTTACAACTAAAATTGAAAGATATTATTCACCTCTACCAACTCTAGTGGTTGAGTGGATAGATACTATGCTCACTATACTACATAAAGTGCATAGATGATATCTCCTACTATTATTTCCCCAGGTAGACTTGTAATATAATATGCATACTCTCATATATATAAATGATATGCAGATGATATCCATTATCATTGTCATTGCTTCTAGATTCTTGCAGATTCTTCATATCTGCTGATCAGCCAGCTTTTGATCAGCTTGATCAACTTAAAACTTTTTCATTTTCAACAACATCTTCACATTTCCCATAACAATCCATGTCCACATCTAATTATTTACAAACTAAGCATTGCCCTTTGACGCCATGCAGCTGTAGTCGCATGAAACTTGTTGGCTGATCCCACAAGCTCTTTGGCTAGCTGGCTGGGAAGCGACGTGGCCTGGCCTGCGTTCGGGTGATAAATAAATTCAGGTATTAACTTGCCATATATTTTCATTATATGCGACACAGAAAGTCGTGTTTTATTTCAACACAAGTGGATTTTAATAATAAAATGTGTCTAATTTGGTACCCACTCGCCAGCGAGAGCGGCAAACCTGATTGCCCAACACCTTTTTCCCAGGTGAGGCGGCGCGCCGACCGACTGCCTGACTGCCTGACTGCCTGCCCACTGCCCAAAGCTAGATGCAACTTGTACACTGTATCCTCTGTGGTACGTGCGAGGCGTCAATGCTTCATTTCCACTGTCATCTTAACTTGATTGCAAGTTACGAGCGTGTTGACAACAACAACAACAATAACAACAATAACAGCAATAGTAATAATAAGTGCAGAGTCTCGCTCCATGCTAACGGTAATTGTTGTCGCGCATGCGTACGCTCGCTTGAGGTTATGCTGAGAGGTTAATGCCTGCCGCTGAGGTTATGCCCATGTGCGGGCGGCTTATTAATCAATGCTCCAGAAAATTGCGCAACTCTTGGCAGCTCAGCCATGATTCATGCTTAATTGGAAGGGGGATTGGATAGCCCCATACCCTAGCTGCAACAGCCGTGCAAATCTCACCCAGTTGTCAATTTCACAGACAACACATTTCAATCAAACTTTGCTGTGCCATAAATAAACCAGCAACTGGACAGAGCCTCCAGCTCGCATAGCCCCCCATGCACTGAGCACAGCTTTAAAGACTTGTGCTTAAATTACAGTTTGGGTTTGTTGTGATCGTTGTTGTTGTTGTTGTTGTTGCTGTGCACGCCTAACGTTCACATTTTCCACATGAAATTATGAAGTCTCCATGGCAATTAATACGCATGAACCAGGCCCGAGACTCAGCAAGTTAGAGCTGGCTCTATGGCGGGTGCTGTCGTCTCGCATGTCAATTTGATGGCAATTAACTTCGGTTAGCGTTTTGTTTTAATAATAAATTTAATGAGCTGCCAAAAATGGTTGCAAATTTACGTGGCAATTAGCGAGCAAAGCGACACTTGGCCAAACAGATCGTGTGGTTGGTCGGTCGCTCGCTCGATCGGTCCAGCCGGTCGCTCACTAGTTTGGCCTGCTCCATATTGCTAATGAGACGCTTTTTTCTTTACTGTGCTGCGAGGCTTGGTCACAGTTGGCTGGCATTTCAAGCCAGTAGCCAGAGGAGCGCTTGGCATGTGCATTTGGCTGTTAAATATCAAATAAATTTAACAGCAAGGTGTGGCCACTGGCCAATGTTACACATCGGCTTTCCATGCGCTGCACAGATTCAAGCGGAAGAAAAACCAGCCTTTGGCTGTGTAGTGATTGGCTCAGATGGTTTACCCTGAAGAGCACTATGAAAGTGCAGGTGTATGCCTAGCCAGCGGTTAGTGTGGGAAGTGTGAGATCTGCTTTTTTGGCATAATAAATATTGTAACTCCAAAAAATATCTGTCATTACATGAGCATGCAATCAAACCTAGATATGATATATGTAAAGGAATGAAACATCATTTTCTATTATCACATAGCAAAAATTGATATTTAGAAAACACTTTGAGCATTTCTATATCAAACAAATGTAAGCTTCAACAATTTCTTTCAGTTCAGCTAAAACAGAAAATGCAATAAATTTAACTTTTACTTAATTTAGTCTCCTTTATACTTTATAAATAATTAAGCAACACTGAAAATAAGTGAGCTAATAACAGTAATTGTAGCAGCATTTGTAATCGATAACTCTTATAGCTTAGTAAATCGAAACTAGCAAATTTAGCTGCTATCGATTAGAAATACCTGAGAGTTAATCAAGCCTTTAGCTGCTAAGCGAACTACGATGTGAAGAAACTTTTAAGCAGCGAGAAGGACATACTATACAAATTGGTAATGTAATGACGTAGCCTTAAAATGCTTGAATCCAATATGAAATGCTGAAGATCACAGCTTGACAGGATTCACATAAACTGGATGCTGTACAGCTGCTAATTCCTAACTCACTGATGCCGCTCAAACTGAAAATAAGTCACGGATTAAGTCAAGATCAAGTTCAAGAACGTCATTTCAAGAGTTTTGGTAATATATATTTGATGCCAAAACCAAATGTACTCAGTGCATGGTAGCTTACCTAAGATATAGAAATACAAGCGTATTCTGTTTACAATATCTGTGCTTTCGTCAACTTGTATGTTTATATATATATGTGCATATGCATATACATATTTACATACAACACATATTGCATATGGTATATATTACATATATATATAAGTATATATTATATATATAGTATATAGTGTTTTGAGCATGGTAACAATTGGTTCGCCATAGTGCCGATGCTCGACTAGAATGCATGAATCGCCGCGCCAAGGATAAAAACCTGAAGTGTCGCCTGGCTCAGAAGAAGCTGTCATGTGTGTGTGGAGGGAGGTAAAAAAGAGATTTGTATTAGTGATGGGCGAGCACCTGCCGTGTAGTCATCGCCTCACCTCATCTGCGGATGATAGCCGTATTGGTCGCGCAGCTCGACCTTGGTAATGGTGCGCTCCAGCTGCTCGGGCACCAGATCGAAGTGACGCGCCAATATCTTCCAGTGCACCATGTTGAAGTAGTTGTATTCGCCGGACTCCTGATAGTCGCAGATGATGTAGTGCGGATTGTCGGCCTGGCGCCGAATCCAGAGGCGTTCGTATATGTGAAAGCGCCAGCCGCGTTCGGCCAGCTCGGCGGCAGCCAGCATTTGCATCATGTCGCCCGGATATGTATAGAAAAAGAAGAACAACAGCTCCACTTCCATCTGATCGATCTTCGGCTGTGGCAGCTCACGCCCGCCAGCGGGTCTATAGTACAACGGCACATCAAAGTTCACCTCATGCGGAGCGCAGCGTCCGCCCTGCAGCGGCCCGGCGAAACAGGCGTGCAATTTGTTTGCCTCGCAGGCACAGCAATGCGCATCCACATTCAGACCCGCTGCCTCATGGCCAAAGATATGTGACAGTAGCTGCGGATGCTGCTGTGCCGCCTCCAAATTGCTCGCCAATCCGGCGAGGCCATAAGCACTTTCCATGCTGCTCTTGCTGGAACGCTCAAAGCGTCTGTAATTCGGCTGCGGCGGTGTTATGTCAAAGGTCACGCCGCCCAGCGGCACGCCCATGCGATTGGTGCGCAACCGCCCATAGAATTTGGTATTCTCAAATCCAGGCGGCGGCCCAATGTTGGGCACTGTTTCGCATCTCTTCTGGCGCGTCCAGGCGCGTTGACTCACGCCAGCGGCCAGGAACTGTTTGTCGAAGATGCCGCTGCTGACACCCTCGAAGTAGTTCGGATACAAATCGCTGTCCGGCGAGAACAGCTCGACGGGGCTATTATTGAATTCGGTGGTGGCGGCCACAAGTGCCACCGCTGGCAGCTCATGCTCGAGGGTTTCGTGCTCGCTGGAATAGGAATTGTTTTTACAGCCGTTGCTGCTGCCGCTGCTGTGCAGCTCGACGAGCAAATCCGGCACCGGCTCCGCGTCCAGCACGGACAGGGCACGCTCGCTAACGCTGTCCGGCGACGGTGGCTGCAACACCTCCTCGTCATCGTCGTCACTGATCATGGCTGTCCAGTCATCCGGCACGGCTGCACAGTTGCTGCCACGCAAATCGTCGTGAGTGCCCGGCAGAGCTGGGAAGTCCTCCCGCAAGATGGTAAACTTTGGCGGCGGCGGCGTCGCTGGTGGCGAACAGTCGGGCCTGGACATATTCTTAACCACATCCACGTAGAGCGCCGAGGAGTTCAGATTCAGTTTGGTCTCTGTCTTCTTTTTACCCTCGGCGGAGGCCGCAGCTGCCGCAGCAATGGCAACAGCTGCCGCAATCGCCTTTGCATTGTGACGCTTCATTTTTGATTGGACAAGAACGAAATTAATCCAAATGGAAACAGATGATTTGACTGCAGCTTTCGAATGTATTAGTTTCTCTTTCCGACGTCTCGTTTCCTTATTACTTTTCGATAATAATTGACTTGACAGTGCTGTCAATGTCAAATATTGCGCACACTGCTGAGCAATCGCTGGGCTTTGTGATCGATAGGCAAAGCCTGGCGATAGCTTCAACGAGCTCAATTGACTTCTAGATGAATGTTATAGGGACTAACTTCAATGTATACACAAGAAAAGGTAAAACCTATGTCAATGAGACAAAATTGAAATACTTCATAGATTAGCAAAGCCTCTTGAAGCGCTCAGAGTCAGTCGAACATTGCGATCGATAGCCACGAAGCCGTCGATAACATTCAAATTGTGCTTAGCGAATTTCGAGCTTGCATGTTGATGTGTGTATGTGTGTGCGTGTGTGTGGGTGGATGCTGCGGAAATTGCAATAAACCAATTTAAAAGTCGAATCATAAATTTAGCTAGCTGCCTAGACGCAAAAATTCACCTGCACTTGCCGCCAGGTAACGATCATCAGGTTATGCAAAGAGTTATAAAAACTGTGAGTGAGAGGAAAGCAAGGGAGAATAAAGTTGAGAGTGAGCGGGAGAGAATTACAGGCCATTAACTTAAAATGACAACAGCACAACATAAATCTCTGGACCAGCCGCACTTAAAGGCAAATGTCTGGAAATTGACAAAAGGAACGCCGCATAACCATAAACTGAAGACTAAGACTCGCTGGAAGCTGCAGCCGAGTGGCGGCCATGGCACGGCTGTGGAGTGTGGGCGGCGCAGGCGTTGGCATTGTGCGCTAATAGCCCAAGCACCAACCAGCACCACTGCCCACCAAACAGAACTGACAGACGAAGAGGTACTATAGCTGATGCCACACCCCCAAGCCAGCCAGCTGGCCGCCCAGCCGCCTGGCACTTGGTAAAATTTATGCGAACGAGGTGCAAGCGTCAAATTAACGAACTTGTCTGCCAGCACGAAGAGGATCAGCGAGTTTATGTATTATATGCAGATGCTGCCCGTCGGCAATCTCACTCTCTCTCTCACTCTACCGAAATTCTGTCTCTTTTGCACTTTAGAGTCAAAGCATTCAGGAAATCAGGTGCATGGCCCGTTCGGCAAATTAAGCACAAATAATATAAAATACAATAATGCTAAATCCATGCTGCAGGCATGAAAAATGATACACATAAAGAGGGATAGACAACGAATGCAATTGGAGATGGAACAGCAGAGATAAACAGAATGAAGCCAAGCTATATATTGAATATGATTTTGCTATTTGAGAGAGTTGAGGGAATACAAAATGTGGCTAAAATTACTAAAAACATAAACAGTTTCAAGAGAACCATTCTGATAATCAACCTGAGACTAAATTTTTAGATTGTAATAATTGAGATTTTATAAGCTTTTTAAAGGGTTTTTATAGATTTTAATTAAATTATAATAGAGCTTTAAAGATTGTTAAAAATCCTTCCAAAGACCTTTAGATCTCACAGTTATTCAAGCTCGTTAAATATTGATAAAGATTTAATTATCATAATTTCTAAAAGAGTCTTAAAAATATAATAAAAATATATGATATAATTTTATGTTCTAAGTCAAAAGAGAATAGTTTTCTAAAATAGTTTTAAAAATATTATAAAAATATGATATAATTTTACGCTTTAAGTCAAAAGAAAATATTAGCTCAAAGCTTCTGCAATAGCTATAAATGAAATAAATAAAAATATTGATATATTTCAATTCTCAAACATTCACAGCTTAAAGTCAATTCTAATCATTTAGAGTATTAACAATTTTTACAGAATTTTTTTAAATATATATTCCAGACAACTCAATCTCTCTCTCTCTCTCTCACTTTCTCTGACATCTCTCCTTCAGGCCAAGTTTTTAAAAGCTCTTCCTCTTTGTCAATATGAAAACAAAGTTTTCTTTAAAAAATTTCCAGACTATAATCACGTCTTACATCGCCACAAACACGATATGTCACCTTAAATGAAGCAAATCACGCGCCCATCCTTAAGTCCGAGGCTAACGAACATTACGAATTACGATTTTGGCGCAGAGACTGCAGAAGCTGCATTCGGCTTGGCCACATAAACTACTATAAATCATACTCATGTTGCGCTGGCAAAGACAACGACAACGACAACGCTGTTCCAGGCCGCATAGTGCTATGTTTTCCTTCTTTTTTCCCTGCCCAGTTCCAGATATCGGAGTGCAAGCCAAGTGCAGCGAGAGCCAACGGCCACTTTGTAGCGAGCGACGGGTCAGCAATTGCTGAGCCATTAAATTGCCATTGCCAACAAGTGAAGCGAGAAGAATATGTTTGAAACTGGACAGTAAACTTTACCTGTTGGCTGGTAGGTGTTAAGACCTGGCATTCACTTAAGCTGCTTTGTACACTCTCACACACATAAGCTGCCCAGATTACGTGCACCAAAATTGCTCGCATCCAGCGCGCTTTGTTTGCCGAGTGAATGAACTGTTCTAGTGGCCAGGCAAACATTATGGAAATTAGCCCCGGCCTCCAAGTGACGCCCCATCACCGACACAAATGACCCCAATGCGCATCAGTCAACTGCGTGTGCGTCTTCAGTGGAGCTGTAAAACTGTAGCTGGAGCTGTAGCTGGAACTGTCCTAATGACCACCATCAGGAGCAACAACACACAGAGCACTTGCAGCCACAGTAGTTGCTTGCTCGAGCGCTAAGTTTTACGAGTAGTTTTGTGTAGGCCAGGCAACCCACCTGATGTTCGCATTGGCTGCCCCAACCCCCTGCTCAAATGCTTGGTCCGGGCCATTAGTGGCAGCGTCGTAATGGCCACATATTTATGAGCTTTTTCGCAGCACTAAAAATTATGCATACATATGTTATAGGCGTAGCTCTCATATAGCTCTTGTGGGCGTTGTTGCCGCGAACGTTTGTTTTATGCTCTCTAACTAATTTCGTTGATGGCCTTGTCGCGCTTAGCTTAGCACCTAGCTACAATGTTTGACAAGAGTCTTTGACTCTACGAAGGAGTTAATGCTAAATATTTTCCACTGATCTGCCGCAAAATTATGCAATGCTAATGAGAAAAGTTATATGGTTTTCTAAGCCAGGCATAAATATCTTTCATATATTCATATTTCATCTACCTTTATTGGCTTTTCTTAACTTATTTCGCGAGGACTTTAAAGCAAACTTATAAATCTTGCAAACGTTTAGTTTGCTTATAAATCAAGAAAAGTTCAATTTAATAATCTGAAAATTCTATGTCCAATATTTGCAATTCAGACCAAGCAAACTATTGACCTTGTCGAGCCAATCAGCTTGATGTCATTATGGCTGGATTAGCAACTATAATCAATCAATCAATACTCGACTCGTAAGATAAATTCAATTGCAAGTCAATTTTGGGGATACTTTAACAACAATGTTGCATTGTCTACGCATTTGTTGTCGTTGTTGTTGCAGCCATTCACCGAAATATTCACTGATTTCATAAAATATTACGATAAATGTCGTTTTCAACATTTATAAGCGCGGATTTTCATATTTTATTGCTTATAACTGCAAAGCGACATTAAATGCCGCTGCTTAAAGATACAAAATGCAGCCAACAGACACACACAGAATCCGATCCCTACCAAAAAAAAAAAAAAAAAAACAGGGAAAGAAGAGGAAACCGACCTGCCCCAGAGCAAGAAAACAAAAACAAAAAAACCAAATGAATTGTCTTCATTTTGTAATTTAATGGTATTTTATTGAATTTTTGATGCACACGGACAAGGCGAACAGCATCCTTGGCTGCAGCTCTCTGCAGTAGCTGCTGCAAGCTCTTCGATACGGGGACAACGGTACCCGCCGCCTGTTGACATTTAAAATATGGCCGCGTGTCAGTGCGACTGCCCTACGCCCATTTTTATAGCAGTCAGGTTTACATTTCGATTTCGATTTCAATTTTTTTGTTGCTTTTTTTCCTTTTTTTGGCACTGATCCCCCCAACCACGATGCGGCGTAAATTCAATTTGAAGGTCTGCACAGCGTCTGAATTCCCGAGATACCAGCCAAATTGTGCTTTCACTTGACCCGCAGTGCTGCGTAAATAAATTTTATCGCTCTGTTGACACGTGCGCGTAATATTTCATTAAATTCAAAATACAAAAAACCAAAAAAAAAATAAGTAAAAAAAAAATAAAAATAACAAAAATATATAAATATTCAAAATAAATACAGAAATTTATTTTTGTAAAATCGAATTCGAAATACCTTTAAAAAACACATAAATTTATGATTAATTCAAAAATTTTTAAGACAAATTAAATACAATTATTATTTAATATTTTCCTCAGGATTTTGTAGATCTAGATTTGTATATATATATATTTTTTTATTTTTTTGTAAAATATCAAGCAATGTATTTTTTATTGTTTCCCAATATAATTTGAAATATAAACATTTTTTTTCTATTTTGCGTATCAAAAATATTTTTAATCATAATACAATCAACTTCATATATTGATCCCTCTCTCTGTGGAGTTTCCTCTGCTGTAAACCAACTGCTAATCAATCATATACAATCTCTATCTAAATATCTCATTATATATAGGAAGATATCTTCTTGATTCAATTCGATTAACAACCCATTCATCTAACACATATACCCGATGCAAGGGTATGCCAGTGCATGCAATCAGCAGAGCTCGGGCAGGGTGCATAAACAAATCGGCAGCCGCATCGTAACTTCGTTTTCAATTTGGCAAGTTTGACACTTGGCCAGTTAGTCAATTGGCCAAGTTTCACAATTGGCCAACGGGCGCGCATTTCAAAAATGTGTCCAAGTGCCACCTACGTTGCATAGCTGTTTGCAATTGGAATTGAAGCTGCTGCAGTCGCAGTGGCAGTTGTCATTGCGGGGCAACCTGTCGCTACTTGCGCCATTCACTTGCCACACACAACAGTGCAGCAGTGCGTGGCTCCTGCCTTTGCTCTGATTGCAAATGTCACGTAAAGCATAACAACAATCAGCTTGAGCCATTTCCGTGGACCGTTTTAACAAATAAATAAGCTCGCGTGAGCTGCAGCTTTAGCTTTAGCTTTAGCTTTCGATTTAGCTAATTAATCACAGCGCTCTGGCCCATGGCACAAGCAAAAATTTAGTTGCTGGCTTTAGCTTTAGTTAAGGCGACAGTAAGTTTGTGGATAATCAAGCTGTTTTAGTTTTACTCATAAATTTTTGGTCAGTTAATCCCGATGAGTATTATGAGTTTATCTTTATGAATCTGTGTCATATAAAATAAATTATGCAAACAGTTAGCTTAGAAAACCTAGTGCGTTTCTATTGAAAAACTATAGTAATATAGTTAGTCTCCTTCATAAAGCTTATTAATCAGACAAAGTGTAATTGCCTAGCTTAAATACATATTAAAATCTTTATTGATTCCAGAACTTTAAACATCCATTATTACAATTGCAGCAGCAAAACGGTTTAGTTATTAAAACAACCACAGAGCGTCGTTATGAAGCTGGCAATCAACTACAATCAACTCATATTTAAAGTGTAATATGAAGGTATAATGCTGTCTTTATGAAGTTGCGAGATCTTTAATTTAATTTTAAAGCGAATATAGTTACACACTTTATAAGTGGAATCTCACAAGGCACTTGTACAGTGGCTCATGCATATATGTATTTTAATGCCAAATTCATAGACTAAATATTTTCTGAATTCTTTGAGTTTCGAATTGATTGATAGCTCAAAACAAAGTAGATATAAAATCGAGTATTGATAAAATTATAAAATGATAAAGTCAATCTTTTATTTATGTAAAGAGCAGAGTTTCTTAGCTCCTTGAGGGCATGGACAGATGACTATATCAAGCAGGCTAATTCAGCTGAACTTAAATGCTTCAAAATCAATAGAAAACTCTTTCTGACTGCTCCATAAATACGCATTAAATCTTATAACTTATTCGTAACCAGCTTGTTTAAGGAAAAGAAAAAGCGCAAGATTATTCTTTCATAAAATTAATGTATATTTGCCACACACACAGACACATAATTAACTTGAGCTATAAACAAACAGAATGTAAACATTTCGCTTACTTTATATACGTTTATGCACATATATAAGGCCAATTAGGTAACTGTAAGTAAAGCTTAAAGCCAACAGCAAATTTATTGAATATTATCGAATTGTAATTGTGATTGTAACTAAAGTTGCCGTTGCTGCTGCGGCCCTTACCCTGCGGACAGACATAATTTTTGCAATAATCGAATCGGTCGGGCTAAGAGTAATGGGCCAGTAAAGGGTTGCAGCCACGCCCTCAACATACTACCGAAACAGACCAACAGAAACAAGCCTCTACGTATCTGTTTTTTTTTTTTGGCAACATTTTTCATATTTGCCTTCAACTTTGCACTGCCAAAGCCCAGGCAGATAAGCGGCTGCAAGCAGGAAAAAGAAAAAGAAAAAGAAAAAGAAAAAATCCAAAAATAAAAATAAAGCAACCAAGTCAAGGCGCACTTTCAATTAATCAACGAAATTAATTAAGGCCCCCACCGATCAGTGAACCAGTGAGCACAGGCAGCCAGACACTTGAGCGTTGGGCATCGAGAGATTGCAACATAATTTTCATTTTGGGGCACAGCGTGCGTTTGTCGTCGCGTTGTTGTTATCATAGCAGGACGTGGACATCGACGCCACGTCGCACGTATGTCCCGGCCCATGTCCGCGTCGCCAGTTCAACGGCTCGGCTCGGCTCGGCTCAGTTGGTCAGTTGGTCAGTCGGTTGGCCGCACTCAATTAGCACGCATGTAGCGCAACGGTGCGACGATAATTAAGCCAATTGCAGTTGCAACTGAAGCTCTAGCTGCAGTTGTTTGTTCATGCTGTCGCTCTGCGATGCGGACCGTAGCCTGGTGACAATTGGCCCCGCACGATTTATGCGCTGTATCTCAAGTTTTTAGCTTTTAGTTTTCAGTTTTCAGTTTTAAGTTTTTAGCCAGCGACCAATTGCGCAACATTTGTCTAATAAATTTGCGTTTAATCACAGCACAAAATGCTACACGCTGGGATTAACTCCGCCGACATCGATCGTACGAACTACCGTTTTCTTTTCTTTTATTTGCTTTTAGCCGTGATAAGAAAGTCCAGACCTGGACCCAACGCTGCCAGTACGTATTATGCACGTATTGTCTCGTGATAGAAGGAGAAAATAACAATCACAAAATAGAGATTTACTGTTAAAAGTGTAATTGTTACAATCGACCAGTTACCATTATATCAACTTACTGATAATCGAGCCCAAAGAGTAAGCGAACATTATATTATTTGAGAGATCAGAGCTGGTCAGCAGCAGGTAGAATACCAATTCGATAATTAAACTCGAAAGCTTAACAACAATCTGAATGGGTAGCATATAGTTAAGCAGATGAGGCTGTCAAAATAGTTGACTTCAATATATAGTCTAACTAGCGATGCCATGCTCAATGGGATACTCACATTGAAGGTGACAGCCAGCAGTACAATTCCCGCAATGATATTTATCTGCGATTGCAGGAACCACACCCAGATCAAGCGTTTGCACAAATTTGAGAATTTCAGTATCACTATCCAAACATTACCAAAGCCGTGAACGATGCAAAAGTAACCAATAAAAATGTTACCGACCCGCAGCGGGATACAAAATAAAAACTTCTTCATATAGGCAATCATGATTGAAAAATTGGATAACTACTTAAACGGTGTCTAAAAAATTACAAAAAAAATGTTGAAAGTGTTTGCAAAGCAAGTGAAAATCGTGAAGACCACATTGTTGCTTCTATTACGAATATTCTAAAAAATATTTACATTGTTTTAAATTATTATATATTAGCTTAATTATGACTTTCCAAAATATCTTTGAGAGCGTCGTACAGTCTCCAGTCCAAACGTTTGAGGTTCAGTTAGAGGAATATTTGGAAAACAAATGGCAAACGTCAAGTATATCGTAAAAGCTTCATTATTAGCTTAGTTTTTCAAGCTGTACAGTCTACAAAAAAGCCTTTGGATCACATGTCTAGTTTTTTTGGCATTAGTTAAAATCTAAATTAAATATTTATTGTATCAAAATTTCAGTGTTATGCTACCAAGTGGACAACGTCGCAACAAAAATCAACGTCTTATACCATTGACTCTGGAACTGATGCAGGATATGTTGGACAACGAGGGTTATGAATATCAAACGCCAACTGGCGTCCGCCAATACACCTCTGAGGAAGATAGTGTCGCGAGGACAGCTCCCAATAACGATTTGCAGTGGGACGCCCAACTATCCGTGGATAGTCGACAGAGCTGCGATAGCGATAGTGTGAGGGAATATTGCGGAGATACCAATCGGAAGTTCACTCGGCTATTGGATTTGAAAGATCATAAAGATTTGCTATATTTCAATAGATCCGATGAACGACTAGGCAGCTCCACGGATACTGAGTCAAGCAATTTGCAAAGCCTGGTCAATATGCTGTGCTCGGCGGAACGGCTAGATATTCAGAAGGATACCGAATCAAGTGTCGATAGCACTAGTCAGCTAAGTGATTATCCCGAAACGTTCGCAATGGAATATTTGTGCATAAAACCCTCGAGAAGACGGCTATATACGGCCAGATCTGATAGCTTGATTAGCAAGCCCGCGCAAGTGGAAAAAAGACACGATTTCGGCATAGATAATTATCATAGGACAAATCAGGACTGGATCAATATGGTGGTTGTCAACAAGTCGGAGACATCCTTTTTACTAAATCAATACAAGCTGCAAAACTTCAAGACCAACAGCTGCAATGCTTATTACACGCCTGAATCGAAGGATCTTAGACGAGATTACGAAGCAGTTGCTTCACTATTGGCTACACCCAGATGCAAACGGAATTCTAGGAATGCGTATTGGTAGTGAAAGTGAAGTGACTTTTTAATGGTTATTTTAAAAAAATATATTTAAATGTTCAAAACCCACAACAAGCAGCCAGCCAGTCAGCCACCACAACAATATCGACAAATTGCCTGTCATGTTGTGTGTGTATAGAGAAATGCTTTTAGTTGAAACTCTTACCCTAGACAAAGTCAGTGAAAGAGAGAGAGAGAGAGAGAGGTAGGTTGGGTATATGGTAGGAGAGCGATTGGGGTTACCCTAAAACAAAAGCTGTGTTCAAGCCAAAGTTTTTCCCCATCAATTTTGAGTGGGATCGATAGCTGGCCAAAGTTTAAAGTTTATTTTCCGTCTTTGTCTGTTCTTTGAAAGAATTTTCCCATATTCGTTTTTATAGTGTTTCATTTAAGAGTAAAGATTGACCTAGTAATGAGTAATGCCTTGAGTTCACCTGATTCCGTCTGAGAGTTGATCGAATTTACAAGAAGTCCTTAAACATTTCTCCCATTTTGTCCATATCAGGAACTGTATTATATCCCGTTGTTTTCGCTCATATATATATATATATAAAGCTCACATTATGGTCCACATATAAATCACCATTAATTTGACAGTAGATTTTACATAACTGCGGCCAACAGGTGAAAGCGAAAAGCGCAGCTGGCTGTGGTCATGGCCAGGAGATGCCAAATCGCGAGTCATGAGGAAAAACCTCAGCATCGCACTCGTAAAAATTTACTACCTGCCGTGGCATGCAAAATCGAATTGTGTGCTAATATTTGGCCGCGAGATCGCCCGGGGCCAAGTTTTTGACACGGACATGACGTACTGACTGCAGTTGCAGAGTTTTCCCAGTGTCTTGCAGCGACTTTCGGACAACAATAAAATCATTTTTGCATGCTCAAATTGCCAAATACCAGTTAGGCGGCGATCCACTGGATGTGCATTGCCGATAGCTGGTGCAGGGAGGGCTGGGGACGGCTATAAGCCATGGAATGGACCATGTCGGCATTTGTCCACTTTGCAAGTGTCTCCGTGATCGACATGCAACGCCAGTGAAATTGCTGTCAAATGAGTAAAAGTTGTCAAAGACCTGAATACGAATACCTGGGCCAGCGCCAAAAATAAATAAATAAACCTTTTGTTAGTCAAGTCAAGGAAACCTTAAAACTTGAATAAATCACTTTTAAGGCGCACTATTTCAGCGAATAAAGCCATTGACTCAGTACTCAAGTGCTTAAATGATTTACTAAATGTGTTGTGTATCTATTAAAAATAAGTAATCAGGCTATATTGGCTTGGGGCGAATGCTTGTCAGCTGGACGATTCTGCTGAGCTGCAGACATGACATCCAGATCGAGATGAACAGATCGAGCTTATTGAATTTAGTAGAGTGTATTACGGAGGTTTGCTTTGGAGAAGCAGAATATTTGTTTATGTCCAAAAACAATAAAATTATTTGTGATCAATCTCAGTGAAGTGTCTGCTGTAACTTAACTGTCCAACTTTGGAAGGTAGTTATTTTTCATTCATATATAAGAAGACTTGCATTTCATATAGATAATATTAATGGGATTCATAGTGTGATAGGCGCAGTTGACTGCTCTATAGCGGCGACTGCTTAGCACGATAATCCAGTTCTTAGCTGCGCTGTCGGAACGAATTGCTATACAGATGAGCGCAACGATCGAACGGGCGAACGTTTAGTCAACAATGCTGGGAATCTTAAGCCATGCACTTAAACTTAATCCAAGTCAAACAAAATGCCAACAAGAAGTTGCAGTTGCAGCCGCACTCTCTGGCTGCGTGGCTTGTCAAAGACAATTACGCGAACGATCACAATTGAGTGACTGATTGGAAGAGAAACCAAGAGCGGTGCAGACTGTGGACAGCTGGCAACCTGAGACATTGAAGGCGTCGCGACAAAATGCCAAGCCACGCCACACCACAAATATATATATATATATATATCCTCGAGAGACGCCGCCAACTGGCGACAATAAAAGTGCTGAGCAATTTGGCGGACGCGTCTCTCTAATTGAGCCCAATGGCTGACCTCGTCCTCAGCGCCGCTGCGCGCTCCGCTCAGCCCACCCCCTCAATGGCGTTGGCTGGGTGTCGTTGACACGTGTGTGCCCGAGCACTGGGCTAAAATTTATTTGTATTAGCCATGGCTAAGTGTGTCTGGGCCGATAAATGGAGAAAGGTGCTTTGATTTAGAGCAAGGCGCTGGCAAAAGGTTTAAGTCGCTCGCCTGCCAGGTGACAATCAATTTGTATATTTTCGCTTGAAATTATTTCTTTAATTTTGCGCACACATGCAGCGAGCGAGACGGCATGAGTGCTGCCCGCGAGCGAGACGGCATGCGATTGGAATTTCATTTAGAAAGTTGCAGGCGGCAAGCCGAAATGCAGCTGAAATTTGCATTTGCCAAAGTCTGAGCGACTGGCGTCGCCGTTGTGACATTCTTCTCGCTGCGGCATGCAACCGAACTGAATTGAACGGAACGGAACGAAACGAAACGCCTTCACTTTTCACTTGCAAGGCCTAAATGGTCTTAACTGGGTCATTTACTAATAATAATAAACGTTATCATCATTTTCCATTGCTACCCGCACGATTTCATACGATTATTCTAATTCCGTCAATCATCGGCAACTGCAACTGTCTGCCTAGGCAGGCATAGTTAACCAAGCAGCAACCAGTCGAGCTCGTCGTGCTCTATTGATCTTGTTTCTCTCGATTTTGATCTTTAACTTGTCTTGACAGCCGTCGATGCTATATGCTCTCTGCCGTGTGCCCCATGCGTAGATGATTTTTGCCACTCCTTTTGGTTACTTCTGATGAAATGCTTTCTACTTTGATTCATTGTCTTTTGGGCCAGCTTTGTTTTGAAAATTCAGTTTTTTTTTTTCCAAAAACCGTTTGGCTTTAATGGCTTTTGATTGATTATCGCGTGCCACGCTCTGTGGGTGCTCCAGCTCCAACTCCAGCCTCAACTCCAGCTTCATGTGTGCTGCTTGGCCCACGTTTTCTATGATGCTTTTGTGGGTTTCTTTTTTTATTTTATTGAAGTATGCTTAATTAGCTTGATGTGTGTGTCTCCCTCGCTGCTGCACGTGCTGTGTGAGTTCCTGCTACAAGAGCTGAGTGGGCACAGAGAAATAATAATAAAAAACCCAAACTATACAATAAGTTCAGAGTTGAGTCTTACAACAAGTTTACTTTACACGATGTGCTTAAAGGGCTGCTACGTGACGTTGTCTAGACGATCATTAAGCTCGACAGAGTAACAATGATAACAAGACTCGAGTTTTAACTATTACCTGGCTATCTATATATATGTTTGATAAAGAAAATCGTTATATAGCTACAAAAATTTTATTTGAAAATCTAAAATTAGCTCTGTTTGAATGCTGCAACTAAATGCGGAAAATATCATTTAATTTTGATGAAAAAGAACTTCTCTTTGACAAAGCAAAGTAAATGATGTATTCAGTTTTTTTCGACATTTTAACATGAATATATACAATAAATGTTATATATGCAATGAGTCGATAACCATATTTTATGTTTGATAATGAAGAAAAATAGATTTTGTTGAACATAACTAAGGGCGGAGCACGACATGCAGCTTTTAAGCTTGGAATTATTTAAATTTAAATATGTTGGAAAAGCACAATAATTGTTATTTTAATTAATTATCTTAAGATTAGTTTCTCTTTTGGGTGGGTTAACTCTCTCTTAGTGCACTCAAGCTTATATAACTTCTATTCTTTGCCTTGTCTGTGTGCTCAAAGCATGACAGCAATGTAATCTTTTCTCTCAGCAGATATCCTTTTTTACAGTTACAGCATTTAAGTTAGTATTAAAATTTAAAGTAGCTCAATAAATAATAATATATTTAAA